AATGTGAAATATGTCAAAATGTATTAAATGTTATGTTGAAAATTGATAGGGAGCCGAAAAAAATCTCAAATCAATGGAAAGAAATTAAAAACAGACTTAGCACCTTTCCTTTACACGTCGTAAACACATTGGTTTCACAGGAGCCTTCCCCCTCGCCGCAGAAAATTACTGACTGGGATGGAGTTTACATCTTCCAGTTTGGCGACACGTATGAAGTTAATTACTATCAGTCCATATTTATAATATATAGTCACAAGATAAACCCTTTTGAAATAATTTGGCGCATAAAATTACAAATAAATATTACAAGAATAGAATGTATTTTATAATTTTATATATACAATTTATATTTCGCAAATGTCATCTCGCATTTCATTGTGTATTACAGATCAATCGAAATCGGGCTTTAATTTAATGAATTATCAGACACACGAAATTTCTAATCACCTTTAATTGAAGCTCGTTTCCATACCAACAGTAAAAGAACACTTGAAACAGCATACTGCCGAGGTACAAAGTCAACGAGAGAAATCCGACGCTGAGAAGCTTTTTCTGCAAGGAAAATTTACTTCAATATTTAAATGACACCGCATAAATTAGATAGAGATCCTCGGTAGAGACGTTTTTTTTAATCAATGATTAGTTATTTAGTATATAAAAAAAATATTTAAAATAATGTCAGAAGAATTTCGGCAACGCCGACTTGAATTAAGGAATTAATCCTAAGAATCATCGTAGGGATTTCAGTTTACGCGACCTTGGACATTTGGAAAATACTGGTGCACAGAGTGACCATGCTGAAAATGAATAAAATCGTCACGGTCCACACAAACAACGACTGTATCCTGCGCACGATCTCGTGTACGTATAAGTGATGTCTCACGCACTCGCTGATCATCGCGCCCGGGTCGATTAGATACTGCTCGGGATGATCCTTAAAAATCTTTGACAGACGATAACACAGCAGCTCGATCTGCCCGCAGACGTGAAGGGTGAAGCCGTAGACGAGGGAGTCGAACGAGACGTTCAGTAATACCCCGTAAAATATTGCGCCTACATGATTAAGATAGGTCAACAAATACGGATATAAGCCGGATATCGAGTACGGCAGGTATGTCTTGAACGGCAGAGGTCTGTCGGTTTTCTGGGGTCCCACGATGGGAGCGAGTATAAGAGCTATGCAAGTAGCTTGAGATATACTCATGAAAGCTTTGACGCACCACTTGGCTGTGAGATAAACATTAAATATTAAAAGCATATATTTTCAAGTTAATATATGTAATACCCAAGTGCATAGTCTTAGAAAAAGCATATCAAAAATATCAAAATATTAATTTCCCGAATTTGATTAATTTTTGTAGTTATGTATATTTTTAGTCAAATATGAAAGTATTATAATTTGATTATATTATCTGATTCAACTAATTTGTTATTAAAATTTATCGATGTGTGCTTTATTATTATCTATTCAAATTTTAATATAATTGCATTGCTATAGCAAAAGTATATTTTTTTGAAAACTCATATTATTAATAACTCCAGCTTTTTATGTTCACTTTTTATATAAAGAAATATTAAAATTCATTTATTTGTAATAATTCTGTCAAGATAAGAATTGCTGCGGCTGAGTACCTTTGCGATCGTACTTAATAAGAATCATTCTTTCTTCGGAATTTCTTGGCTGACACGTTGCGCTTCGAAAACAGTCCAACAACATGGTCACTTCGTTTCGTCGCACTAAGAAGTTTCCGTATTTACAGCATAAAGCTACATAAGTTAACGCTAGGAAGAGTCCTTCGGTTATATCTTCTATGTCGTCGTGCGTCCTTACAAGCTCGATTACTTCCGATATCGTAAACTCGTATATTAAAATAACAATGGCATATCTGAAAGTTTTATATATCTTAATATTTTAATCATTTTAATTATATCTTGATTGAAATATCTAATAATGTCTAATCTTGAGTCTAATCGTGATTCTTCGGTAAAATAAAATGACTAGCATAAGCCTAAGTAGAAATTAAATAGAAACAGAGTACACAATCACAGATAATGTAATCAAATCACATTCTTTCATATATTCGATATCAAAGCGACATATAGCTTCTACATGCGTGTGCAATATTTCTGGCAATAACAACGTCATTAACAAATTAATTTTGTAAGAATAAGAAAGACGAGAAAAAAAATTTAGCTGCAGAACATTGCAGACTCAAATACAGAGTGCATGTATAAAATAGATTTATATCCGTGTAGAAACAAGATGTGAATAGAAAAGTATCGTATCGTACTTGTAGCAGAAACTTAAGAAACGAACGAAAAGATTGTTATCCTTTTTTTCGCTCCACGCACCGCAGAACCAGAGAACCCGGAAATTCAATGGCAATATATCCATAATTCCGGAACGGCCGCTCCGGTGAATGGTCTCCCTCTTGTCATGCCTCGCTATGCTTTGAAAATATGAAGCTTGGAAAAAATTAATGCTAGGAAAAAAAATGTATAACGAGACTTTCCATACATTGTCAACGTCCGTTCTCATGAATTAGTAATCGCTGGAACGTTCTAAGCGTTCTTTAACATTTAATGCCGTCGGACAATGGGAGAGAATTCGCTGATTTTTCTTTCTCCGCTACATTTTCTCTTCGACTCTGTATTCTTTTTCATGTGTTTACCAGACATTCGCGATGACATAACCAGTCATTATTTCTTAAATTATGAACTTATGTAATGCATATAGTATCGAATGTACGAAGGATACCGAGAGTGAAGGATATTAAAGTATTACTACTATTGATGTATGTGAAAAGTTCTTTTGCAAATATTGTTCGCCTGTCAGGAAAACTGACGAGCAGCTGAAAATTTTTGTAAGGAGAATTTAATGAGTTATGTATCTGCAGAATAAACTGCAAGTATACTTTTTATTCAACGGGAAGTTTTATTTTTATTTTTATCATAAAATATATACACAGAATATCTATATACGATGTGAAGAATAATTTATACAAAACAAGTTTCTATGCAGATATAAAAATATCTATAACATTCTAGAGATAAATGTAGTACGAAAATACATTTAATGTGTTTAGAATAATAATGCAGTTGTCAAAGAGATAGATACGAAGATATTAAATCGAAGCTTGCTGCAGCAAGTTAAAAGCAGAGTAGGAGGTCTTTAAAATCTGTACAGATGCAGAGAATAAAAATTTAAATTCTTTTTATATATCCAACATGTTATTGTATTTACAATATGTGTGTTTTAAAAATTATGTATAGTGTATTTTTTAAAAGTACATATTGCGTATACTTACCCACGTGAAAGTGCTAAGAACTAACGAGCAAACTCCATAAAAAGAAATCATTCTTCCTCTCTGGCTTATCATCATCATAAACGACAAGTTTTTGCGTTGCTTTACCGATATTATTGTCCAGTCACTAGCATAAATAGCATACGCGATACTCTTATTCTGGACAAAAAATATTTAATTTGATATTATTTATTTATTTAAATATCAATCATTGGTGATCATTAGTGATTAGGATTTCAAATATCAATCAAAAGTGAAAAATTCATTATCAGCGACACCTTTAAATCGAGCTCATTGCCATACCAGCAATATGAAAATACTTGAAACAACATTGATCCTAAGTATAGCACAAAAGCGAAGAATTCGACGCTAAAGAGTTTTTTCTGCAAAAAGATACTGTAATTGCAACATTGTTTATGTTTAGCTAATATCAATTCTATTGAATCATGTTTTAAAACAATTTTTATACGTTAGACATCTGATAGATGCTGCTGCAGAGAGTGATAAGGCTGAAGAAGAACAAAGTGGCGATAATCCACATAAATAACGACTGTATCCTGTGTGTGATGTTCCACACCGAAACATGATGCCTCACGCATTCCGCGATAGCGAATTTCTCAATGTCGGCGTGCTTCTTCTCTTTGTTATTCCTCTGAAGAAATCGGAACGTTTCCGACAATCGATAGCACAGCAGCTCGATCTGCCCGCAGGTTTGAATCATAAGACCGTAAACGAGGGAGTCAAGAGCGACGTTCAGTAATACCCCGTAAAATACAGCTGCAGTTTGCTCAAGATAGGTCAACAGATAAGGAAGTAGCTCCACCATGGAGTACGGTACGTACATCTTCAAGGGCAACTGCCTTTCGTTCTGCGTCATCAGAGGTACTATGAGGACCATTAAACCCGTCATTTGCGAGATGAGCATGAAGGCACAAGCGATTCTCTTAGCTTCGTTCGTAGTACATCACGGCAAAATGGAGTTTGCAAAATAATTAGGTTCTATGAGATGTAGGTACGATTATAATTATATCTATATTCTATAAGGAAACTTTACCAGTAATTTTTTAAGTATTTTATAAGTAAGTAAAGAGACAAGATTAAACGAGGAGTTTTACATGAAGAAAAATAATTTAGTTATTGTAGCAATAGACAAATTTTGATTAATAAGTTTGTTTATAAAAATATTAATTTGTTGTTAAAATGAATTTATCACAATATTTTGCTTTTGCAACAAAAGTGTTGCTAATAAAATATAATATAAGTCAATATAAGAATAAACAAAATTAAAAGATAAAAAAAAAGGAATAATCTGTTACAAAATTTTTAGAGCAACATAATTGATAGAGCTAATAGATCTAATAAGACTTATCTAAAAAAATTTAATTAATCTTAATAAATGTTTTTGCTGCTCATATAATAATTAACGAAATTTACTACGTAGATAAATATTTGCTATATCAGCCAATCTTTGTTTTTCTCCATACATAAGTATGTATAAATGTGTATATTTGCAAGTATATTATTTTTTTAAACTAAAAATTTTTACTGTTTAATATTCCAGTTAGATTTTTTATTTCCTTAATAATGAGTTCCTTAATAATGTTCCAGCAGCAATAATAGTACCTTTGAGATCATATTGTTTTAGTATCGACTCCTCCACTGAATCTCTTGGTTGACATAGCTTAACGCGAAAACAATCTAGCAAAGCACGCAATTCACTTTGTCGTATCAAAACGTTTAAAATCTTTAAACACAGGCACATATAAGTTAACACCATGAATAGACCTTCCGTTAAATCCTGCACGTCATTCCTCATACGTACGAGCTCGGCTACCTCAAATATCGTAAAATGATGTATTATAGCAGCGATCGTATATCTATCAAAATTATGTATGTAAAAAAGAGGGAAGAATATACGTTGTATATATATAATTCCAAGAACGTTTATCACTTAATTAATAAACATTAATGCACTATAATGCACTAATAAATAATTTCAATTTTAATCGCAATTTCAGTCTATTAATAATAAAATGTTTTTAATAAAATTACTGAATCTATTTTTGCTTGATGTATGTTTCATATAATTATTCTACCTATAACAGAAGCTGACAAAGCGTACTACCAAACTGTCATCCTCTCGTTCTTTCCATACACCGCAAAAACGAAGAACGTAAAAATTCACCGGCAATAAGTCCATATTTTTATCGTCGTATACCTATATAACGTAAATCTTCCCTCGACAATGGCGAAGTATAGTATGTCATTTGTTCAGAGCTGTTGTGAGACATTCCCGACGACAGTGTTCTTGCATTAATAACGATGTCAAGGTATACACAGCATTGTTAGGGTGCATTATCTTTTAATACTGTTCAGCAGAACAAAATATACGGACTTCTCCCATTGCCGTATTCTTATTCTCGATTTTACATTCTTATTAGATAATGTAACCCGATGGCAAAATGTTGTACGAGCCTTCAATATCGGCAAGTTATCACTTAATTATTTAAAGGATTTCTTACATTATTTTATAAATATAAAAACCGTAAAGAAACTGTAAATACAAAATAAAGTCGTAAAATTACGGGTTTATTGCAAGGAACATTTTATTCCAGAGATGAGACATATAGTTCAATTGTTTTGCTAGGAAAATAACTGCAGCTAAGAGAAAATTGTTTCTGTAACAATTGTTTTAAGGAATCTCTCTGAAAGAAATAAAATAAACAAGTGCGAAAGAAAGGAGTTCAAAATTGTGTGTAACAAAATTCAAAAAATAAAGAACTGTTAAAGTCTTCAAAAATTAACTTTCAAAGACAATTTTGTTACTTGATAATATGTTATGTCAATTTTAATAATTTAAAATTTTTCCAATTTATAACAATATATTTTATGCAATTCTTACAATTTGAAAAAGGTGTCATGCAAATTCTAAGTCTAAGTAAAAAAAAAATTTCAAATCAAAGTGACGTCTAAAAATTTAGTATACCCGTTAAAACGTCTTGTTCTATAAGAATTTTTTAAGATTATTTGGTAAAATATTTTACAAAAAATTGTATACTACTTTTATAAACAAATGTAACGTACTTAAAAAGGTATCTACAAAACAAAGTTTCTAATATAAAAATATCTAATATTTATTCTATATCTATCTAGAAAATATTGTATAAAAATACATTTGCTGTCAATTTGATTAAAACAGTACTACATTTGCTAAAAAATTTACGTAAGTTACTAATTTGAAGCATGTTGCAATAAGTTGAAAGCAGAATAAGACGTCTTTAGGATCTGCGCAAATACGAAGCATATATAAATATAAAACTTACAAAACATTTACAATATATAAATTACAAGTGTACATTTCTAATTAAACCTTAATTATTATATATGTGTACTTGCCCATGTGAAAGTGCTAAGAATTAATGTGCAAAATCCATAAGAAGAAAGTATTCTTCCTCTTTGACTTATCATCATTATAAGCAATAAATTTTTACGTTGCTTAGTCGATATTACCGTCCAATCGCTAGCATAAATAGCATGCGCGATATTTTTATTCTATATAAAAAATACCACGATTTTATATCATATAAAATATACAAATATAAAACATTACTAATCGTAAGCTATAAGAAAAAAAATTTTATTATACCAACAATACCTTTAAATCGAGTTCGTTACCATACCAGCAGTATGTGAATACTTGAAACATCATCGATCCTAAATATAATATGAAAGTGATAAATTCAGGACTGAAAAGTTCTTTCTGAAATAGAAACATCGATCGCAGCATTTCATTTAAATAAATATCAATTTCATTATTTGAATTTTATTAAATTATACTAAATACTATAACCAACTGTATTTATAATCCGCATAAAAAAATTAATTTACTTTGGACATTTGATAGATGCTGGTACAGAGAGTGAGGAGGCTGAAGAAGAACAAAGTGGTAGTAGTCCACATAAATAAAGACTGTATCCTATTTGTGATGTTAAACACCGAAATATGATGCTTCACACATTCCGCAATAGCGAAATTTTCAATGACGCCGTGTCTCTTCTCGTCGCTATTCTCGTGAAGAAATCGAAACGTTTCTGTCAATCGATGGCACAGGAGCTCGATCTGCCCGCAGGTATGAATAATGAGACCATAAACGAGAGCGTCGAAGGAGACGTTCAACGAAACTCCGTAAATTAAAGCTGCAGTTTGTTGAAGATAAGTCAATACGTAAGGAAGAAAAGCCGCGATAGAGTACGGTACGTACACTTTACACGGCAAGGATCTCTCGTCCTTAGACAATAGAGGCACTATGAGCATCAATAGACCCGTCGTTTGACACATAAACATGAAGAAACAGGTAGTCTGCTTAGCTTTATTTGCAGCACAAGAATTTGTAAAATAATTAATTAAATGAGTCATAAGGTGGGGGAGAAAGGAATAATTATAAGTATTGCAAGTATATTCATAAGTATATATATAAATTCACTTTAACGAGAGATCGACTTTATCAGAGATCCTTCATCATAAATGTTTAATCAGATTCTTTGAACCCCCCGCACGATTCTTATGGAAAAATAACCCCGGGAAAATTGCTCCGTTTTGAAATATGTCGCTTTTGGAATTTTAAACAAAGATCTCAATTGCCATTGTCTTCACACTCACCTAAAATCAATAAATAAAGAAATATAGAGTTTGAAAATTAGATATAGAACTTGAGTGTCTGCTATATCTCTTTAAGACAACTAAATTCTTTTTTTATGTATAATAGGTATACATATACATACATATTCTTGAATGGTAATTAAGTGCTACGTATGAGTGCATGTACGTGTGCGTGGACGCGTATGTTGAGTATCTGTCATGGTTTTATAAAATGGTTTTATAAAAATGGATGTGTTCGGAATCTAGTATTTTTTGTGTTTTTATGCATATTGTAGCGATTACACGCGTTGTGTCAAGCGCGTACAATTAACATACTTATAAAACGTACCCGAACAAATACAAATAATTATTTATGTAAATAATGCATAAATAATACATGCACTTATACACGTCAATATTCAAGAATGCATATGTTTACTTTTGTCACACATAAAAGAAAGCATTTGATTATTTTAAAGAGATACATATAGCACACTCAAATTCAGAGTTCTATATATATTTCGTATCTATTGATTTTAGGTGAATGTTGCAATGAAGACATATTTGTTCAGAATTTCAAAAAACTATCAACATATCTCAAAATGGAGCAATTTGACCTGGATTATTTTTTTATAAAAATCATGCGGAGTTTTTTCATAAAAAAAATTGTGTACATATATAAAAACGTATATTAATTTATTTGTATGTTTTCGTGAATATGTATATTAATTTTCTCTTAGCAATTTTTTCTTAACACTTATAAATTAATAATACTTTCCATTCTAGAGAGAATTGAGAAATTTTTCAAGTATATACTTATATCTTCAATTTAATATTTTAGAATTAATAAATATTATACCTTCTCGATCATACTGTTTCAGTATCGATACCTCCGCGGAATCTCTCGGCTGGCATAGCTTGGCGCGAAAACAATCTAGTAAAGTACGTAATTCGCCTTGTCGCACCAAAAAATTGAGATATTTTAAACACAGAGTCATGTAAGTTAAGGCGAGGAATAGACCTTCCGTTAAATCTTCCATATTGTTCCTCATACGAATGAGCTCGATTACCTCAGATATAGTAAAGTGATATATTATAGCAGCAATTGTATACCTAAATTACGTATATAAAAGAGAGAAGAAGAAAATAATAAATAGATTAATTGTATATATCGTTTCCAATAATTTTTACCACTTAATTAGCGAACGCAACATTTACAAATAATTTAAACTATTGTACACTAATAAAATGTTTTTGATAAAATTACTGAATCTACTTTTGCTTATCGTATATCTTATTTCTACCTGTAGCAGAAGCCGACGAAACGTACTATTAAGCTGCTATCCTCACGTTCTTTCCATACTCCGCAAAAACGAAGAACATAAAAGTTTACCGGCAATAAGTCCATATTTCTATCGTGTCCAACAACAAATCTTCCCTCAAGAATAACTAAATACAGCATATGTCATCAGTTCAGAATTCTGAGATGTCCCCGCATTCTGCAACGTTCTTGCATTAATAACGATGTCTATTAGGTATATACATCATTGTTAAAGGGTGCATGATTTTTTAATATTGTCCGGGACGAAACATCCGCGCTTTTCCCATTGCTGCTCGTATTTATATTCTCTATTTCATATTCTTGTTAGACGTTATACAGCAATATATGCGATATGCGTTATAAATTGTCGCTTATTTTAAATATTCTCTTCTACATTTTCTTATAGACGTGAAATTATAAAATTTAAAATAAAGTCATAAAATAAGAGTTTATATAAACAAAAGTTATTGTGAATATTTCACTATAAAAGAAATAAATTTTGTATTAATCTATTTTATTATTAGTAATTTTATTAGAAATTAAGAGTACTCAAAGAAATTTACAATTTTACAAATTTTTATATTAATTCAAATTAATGTAAATTATTAATTATTTGTCATTGAATTTGATTTAATAATCTATTTTCTATAAAATTATCTATAATTATCTAGAAAATATATCAGGTCAAAGAGATACACGAAAATTGTTAAAATGTTGAGCTTGTATCGGCTTATTTCAACAATTTGTATAAACTCTTCTTTTGGCAATGGGCAACAATTTTTAGTCAGGTGAGTCTTAGTTGAGTATAAACTAAATTCCTCCTCATCAATACGAATAAAGCCTATTTAATTGGCGCTTTCACCATCAAATTATTTTTCTTTGCTCATTTTCATTTTTTATGTTAAAAAATAAGATTATTGTACAATTAGAGTAATAAGAATATTATCTAGAAATCCTACATTTGTATTATAATTTTGAAAGAATAATTATTTATATTAGTCATAATATAAATATAAAATAACAATTTAAAATATAATTATCTCTTGATATGCATATATACCGTATTAAAAATGCAAATCGTATATAATTGCAGTAAATAATTCAAGAAAAAATATTATCTCTATAACCAAAAAATCTCCACTGATTACACTGCAATAAAATAAAAACTGACGTGCTATGGTGCATCCCATTAATTCCATAATTACGTTTAAGCGTCGTAATTAAACGCTCGTTAAAAGAATTCGATAGCATATAATAAACTGTTGTTTCGGCGTGATACGCTTTTTACCTTTTCCTGTTTTTGACCTAAAATCAGAAACCGAAAAAATTTAATTTTTCATGTCCCGTTTTATAAACTGTCAGAATAAATTGCTGATCTCAAATTGATTAAGATTTTAATCAAACACCTTTTACAAAGAAATTGATAAAAATATAATTAATTAGATATTTATGAAAAACCGATTTGTAACAACGATAGTTCGTTGTTTAAGATTGGGAAGTAACGCATTAGTTAAGTGTAATGTCATTACTGTTTTCATTATCTTTTTCGATAACAATTAATCGTTACTTTTGTGATATAAATGAGCACTATCTTATCATTCTATAAGGTTGTTTTGCTTTTACCGAATATCGTTAGGATTACATACATTTTGGCTAAATTTGACATTTTCCAATTATAGATTAGATTTTATTTTCAATTTGAACAAAAATTTTATTCGGTAAAACCAGATCAACCTGTAGAGGCCCTCCACCACCCCCGTCGACTTTAATCGACGGTCCTCTGAAATGTGTGCTTGTTTTATGTTTTTTGTTGTTTACTTTACAAATGTTTACATATTTATATTAAGTACAAAGTATCTATAAAAAGACAATATTAAGAAACAAAAACAAAAA